GGGAAATCTCATTGATATTACTCTTGAATGGTAACAGGGTTCTCGTGGCTTTCTGTCAAAGCTCTCTGTCCCGAAACTGTTCACACTAAAGACTTCCAATATGGAGGCCCTTGAGGTTGAAGCTCTTGCTGTCCTTTAGATGATATGTAGGGAATCTTTTAGAATGATTGATGTAACATTTGTAATAATGAATGTCAGGATTATTAGTCTAGGGTATAGAGTGGTTGACCCGTTGTCAATGTATTAAATTCATAGCAGACTAGTGATGTGAGGCTTCGGTTTGGGAGATGAGGCCATGTGGTTATTATCCAACGGTTATCATGTCGGCCATAACTTTATAAAAGCTCACAGATTATACCATTTGAAAAAAAATGCAACATTTTATACTTGAAACTACACTCAATCTTTTTTCTTGCTTATTCCATATTTATTTGATTGAGTTTAGATTACTTCTACTCTGGTTGAGTTGTTTATAATTGTTTATTTATATTCAATCATCTTTGATCATATTGTTGATGTTTGAACATTTTTTACTCGTGTCGTAAAGCATCTGATATGTTCATAAACGTCATCATTTCCCGTCTGAATCTCCAGTCAAAACATGTTGAAATTTGCTTGCTTCGACGCGAGTGGGTCCGGCATATGTTGTCCAAGTAACCATTACAAAAAAAAGAGTCAACAACCATCATTCAATAGTTTTCCGTTAGAACAGTGAGTTAGTTTATCGATCTAACTTATACCTTCAAATTGGTGAGCTCGAATTATATGTAATGAGCTAAAACATTATTGTATTTAAAAGCAAAGAATAAGCTTTGAAGCTGAAATAGCTACTTAGATGTTTGTTGAAGAATAAGAAGTTGATAATGGAGATTTTGGAGTATTGATGTATGTGTTTTAGGGTGAAATAGGTTTATAACTTGACCAGGATGCTCAATTCTCTTGGTGTTAAGATATGTGCACCTACCAACATGCAGGAGAAAATGTTTAGTCTCAAATTTGCCTTAACATTATATCGAAGGGTTAAAATTGTCATTTTGCATGTCAAAATTACTTTTTTTTGATAAAATAAGTTGAGACTTACTGTTTAAAAAATATTTGTAAACTTTGTTTGTCAACAACGTAACTTTAAAAAGTCGACGGAACGAGATTGAAAAAAGAAAGCTAGTTAAAAAAAATTTAGGCTAACATATTTGGCTAAATTAAGTTACTTTTTGAGTAGACTTACTTTTATTTAAAATTTTGCCGAACATGCTCTTAATATGCAAGGATTCAAGAATAAAAGACTCGGACTTGTTCTTAGAGATTTTTTTTTTAAAAATTATTTTCCTCAAAATCATTTTTAACTACAAATTATTTTTTTCTTGAAAAAATCTTTATTAACCAATTTGTAGAATTAACACATAACCTCTATGAACAAAACTTTCAAAAAATTGCACGTGTCACGTAACCTATTAATCATTATTGAAATTTGTAGAATTAAAGTATGTTGGTTGGTCTTTTCCATCGTTATAAGTTAGTCAACGGCCTAACTCTATTGCTATATAAGTTTAATTAGAAGTAGGTGAATAATTGATTAATCCGAAATAAGTAATTATTTTAAAGATTACTCAAACCCAAAAAGTCTAACATTTGAAGATCATATATTTCAATTCGTGTCCCTCGAGTTGAATTATAATCTATTCTACGCATTAATAATTGACTTTTAATTGGATTAAACTGACTTTTGTAAACATACATCATTGACCATATGATAATAAGCCAAAAATTAACACGAGATAAACAAAATTGCTCAACAAGCTTTATCATGGTTGAGCCCGCAGCCTGCTCTATTGATTTATAGAACCAACACATTCGTGCAAATTAGCCCCCGTTTGATTTGACTAAAAATTATTTTTTAATATATTTACGAAAGTTGATGAAATGTATGATTGAAAAGTTGATATAAGTCGTGAGTTCCATAAAATGTATGATTAAAAATGAATTTTAAAAAATATAATATTAAATAACTCGTGCCAAACAGGGAATTAGGCCCTGTTTGAGGTGCATTATTCAGACAATAAAATGAGAAATCCAACCGTTTGAACCGCAATGCTTGACTTTTTATTTCACACCAATTCAAATGTAAACTAAAGGTCACATATTTTATTTTTCTTTACTATTAATGAGCCTCAAACATGCGCTTAATAATAAGTTTCTTGAAGAGGAATAATCCTCATCGGCGCATTTTCCCTCTTTTCCACCTCTGCAATTCACACCAAAGAAGAAGAAATGACCTTATGACGGGTTTGGTTGCAATTTGACTATTACCCATTGTAGTTACAATAAAAAAGCATTGCAGCCGCGAAATGAACCCCAAAATTAAATAGAAGGTCGCGTAAACAAATCACTTATGTAGTGGTTGCAAACAATCTAGTAATTTATTTATGCGCTGAATTTGGACCATATTAAGTATTGCAAAAATAAAGGGTTTCACCATTTATTTTTAGCTCTTTCGAAAAATATGAAAATTTCAATAGAAGACACAAAGCACAACGAGTGATCAATAAGGCAGCCTCTAAAAACACGTCATCGAAAGTTATCACTGCAGCTACTTTACGAAACATATCGTAGCATAGTATTTCAAAAGTGTTCGATTACAATTTACATCAATTATTTTATGACTCTTCTTATTTTAAATGGTCTCTCTTATCATTTATGGCCACTATCAAATGTCATTTTTAACTTAAGCCCTACTTGCTAGGGTGAAAACATAGCCATGAGTATATTGGGCGTTTCAAGCCAAGTTGATCAAATTGAAAGGAGAATTGTCAAAAATAAGGACTAAATGATATTATCTTCTAGTTAAAAATTGACTTTGGAAACCATCTCTCATAATTTTGAGCAATCTTGAAAGGTCCACTTTAATTGTCGTTTTCCCGTGAAAATTTTATCGAATAATCAATGCAAAGTTGCAAACTTTTCCATCAGGCAAGAATCTTCTAGCTGTTTGTGAGAAAAAAATATTTTTCATATAGAGCGTTCACACAAAAAAGAAATTATAATAGAATTTTGATTATCTAAACATAATTTTCGTACAATAAAATTTTGATAAATAATCTCACTTAAATAATAATTTTTTTTTTGTCTTGAGTTGATCCTTTGTACTAAATTTGTAATATTTGCATAGGATAATAATTTCATTTAATTGATTAAATAAGTAAAATTTTATAATAATATAATTGAACCCTTTACTATTTTTTCTGAAAATATGTATTTCATTTGTAGAAAAAAAAAA